AGCCATCATTGTTGTTTGGCGGGTCCGGGCTGGGGATTCGAACCCACCACCTTAGGTGTACGTGGCTGGCGCCTTAGCCGGTTGAGCCATAGGCGCCGAGCCAGAAAGACATTTCATAACCCTGTATCTTAAGTCATTTCCATAGTCTAAGATTTCTTTTTCTTTTTTTCTTATTTCAGGTTAATGTGAGGGTACAATCAGGTCACAATATTTGAATTTGTTAGATAGAGTCCCTCTTATAGTAGTGTCCCACAACAAAAGGGAATGCCATCCACCCCTACATTGTGCCCATTAAGTAGGAGTACACCAGTCCCCTTCTCCCCCCTTGCACATTCCCTCTCCCATAGTCTAAGATTTCTTCTTAGGACTTATAACATCTCTTAAGTTTATCTCTTTTTTTTTTTTTTTTTTTTTTTTTGAGAAAGAGAGTCTCACTCTGTTTTTCAGGCTAGAGTGCTGTTGCGTCAGTCTAGCTCACAGAAACCTCAAACTCCAGGGTTCAGGTAATCCTCCTGCTTCAGCCTCTTTAGTAGCTAGGAGTACAAGTGCCCACCACCAAGCCTGGTTAATTTTTCTATGTTTAGTAGACATGGTGGTCTTTCTCTTGACCAGGCTGGTTTGAACTCCTAAGGTCAAGCAATCCTCCTGCCTCAGACTCCTTTCTAAGTAGCAAACTATAGGCACCTGCTACCACACTTGGTTCATTTTTCTATTTTCAGTAAACATGGGGGTCTCACTTTTGTTTAGTTTGGTCTTGAAGTCTTGACCTCAAGCAGTCCTGCTGCCTCAGCCTCCCAGAGTGCTAGGATTACAGACGTGAGCCACCACATCTGGCCTCTCATATTTATCTTTTATTTCTATCATGTTATCTAGATATTTGAGTTCAGTCCTTCTCTGAGCTTTAGTAATGGCTTTCAGTACCTGTTTCCGTCATTCATGTTATAAATTGGTTCAGTGTTTTGTAAGCATTGTTCATAACAAAAGCATTGAAATTATGAAAATCCTTTAAAGGCATGTAACTTGAAGGGGCACAACTAAAGGCAGGAAGACTATTAGGAGTCTTCTGTTTTTTCCTTTTTTGAGATAGAGTCTCACTATGTTGCCCTCAGTAGAGTGCTGTGAAGTCACAGCTCACAGCAACCTCAAACTCTTGGGCTTAAGTGATCCTCCTTGCCTCAGCCTCCCAAGTAGGGACTATAGGTGCCCACCACAATACCCAACTATTTTTTGTTGTTGTTGAAGTTGTCATTGTTGTTTAGCAGGCCCTGGCCTGGTTTGAACCCACCAGCCTGGTTGTATATGGCCAACGCCCTACCCACTGAGCTACACACTACTAGGAGTCTTCAAACCAAACATACTATCTTTAGACATTGTATCTAGTACTTTTACTGTATTTAATCTTATTTACTTAACCTTACTACTAATTAGCTTTTGACTGCTAATTAATCTCCTGGTATTTTTCCCCCCATAAAACTGCTAAGCACTTTCAGTTGTAAGCAGACCTTAATTAGATGAAATTGATTGTTCTGTTATCTATCCTAATCAAGAGCTCTGCAGAAAAATCTCAGATACTAGTTTATGCACATAAAGAAAAATTTTACCTTTGTGCCTTGTCCTTGCAGATGCATCATCTTCCTGAATTTTATTTTATTTATTTATTTTTATTTTTATTTTATTTTTTTGAGACAGAGTCTCAAGCTGTCGCCCTGGGTAGAGTGCCATGGCCTCACAGTTCACAGCAACCTCAAACTTGTGGACTCAAGTGACTCTCTTGCCTCAGCCTCCCAAGTAGCTGGGACTACAGACGCCTGCCATAATTAATGCAAGGCTATTTTTTTTTGTTTTTTGTTGCAGTTGTCATTGTTGTTTGCTAGACAGGGTGTATGTGGCTGGTGCCCTGCCCACTGAGCTACAGGCGCCACCATCTTTCTTAATTTACATAAGCTTGTGTGTAACCACTTATCATTTAACAAGTATTAATATTTATTGTCTATCTATATTTTTATTTAATTAATTTATTTTTGAGACAGAGTCTTCTTTGTTGCCCTTGGTGTAGAGTGTCATGGCATCATACTCTTGGGTTCAAGAGATCCTCTTGACCTATGTATTTTAGATTAATGTAAGCCATTTGCAAATGTTGGTTTCTAGATATCAGTTACCATTTATTTTTCTTTTTACCATGTTTTAAAACCTTGGTATATAGAAAGA